CACTTTGTCTGATAGTGTGGTGAGAGATGGTTGCTAGCCAAATTGGTTGACAGTAATTGAGGTCAATGTTTATGTATCAAATATTAGTCATGTGGTGAGAGATGGTTGCTAGCCAAATTGGTTGACAGTAATTGAGGTCAAGGTCAGGATGGACAGACGGATACAGAACTGACACAGCCACAAGAGATGCAAGGTTAACTTTGTGTGAGAAACAACCAATCAACAGACTGTATTTTCCACTAACATTAACCTAGAATAATGTACGTCAAAATCTACAAATATGTGTTGATTTTCCGTAATAAACGATCTGTTGCCTGGCCCTTGTCTTCTGTTGTTACAATAGTTTTATTCTAAAGACCCATTTTTATTCATTACAAGCAGTTACTGGTAACATATAGCGCTAATACATGGTTCATTCATTTGGAGAATTGCCATGTCACTAAAAGCATTTCTAACAGGCTTCATACTATTATCAAAAGCTGCCTTTCTCTGGCTCCATACTGAAGATAAGATGACCGGTTAGAAAAGATTAGCAACAAGGAACTCTGCAGTGCAACAAACGGACTAATAACCTATTGCCCCCAGCCCAGAAATATGTTAACGAAAGTGAAGACAGATTGAAATAATGCTAAAAGGATTGCTGAGTGACATCGCATGCCAGACGATCAGGAAATGGTGCGTTCTGCTTGAGTCAGAGGGTGGCATGGATGAGATCGTGTAAGGAGAAGGCGACAGCCTTGAATCTTCATGGCAAAAATATAATTTTCATAATCCTTGATTTTCTATGATAGGCTGTTTATTATATCCCGGGTGCATATCATTATATTACAAGTCGATTTATTTCAAAAAGCAGCTTTCGAGCTGAAAAACAGCAGCGTCTTCTAACTTGTTTAATAAAACATTGAGTAGTTAGTTATCCTGAAAGTTCCCCAGTGGAACACCTGCCGACGCAAAATTTCTCTCCCAAAAATTTACTAACTGCCCCTATCGGTAACTAACTAACTGTTTGCATTTATGGATCATTTATCCACACACTGATAATATCTCCGACAGAAGATTTTAAAAAAAGCACGCATATCAACAATGCTTATGGTATAATGAAACTCGATTCATATTTTATTGGATAACAAAAAAAAAGAAAGCTTCTTGTCGGCAACGATTTATCACTACTCAACTGACCGATGATAAGTATCACGATAACTTTTATTCTTATCAGTAGCATTTATCGACAGGTACTATAGGGTGAGAGTGTCTTCTCCCGCCCACCCCACCCCGCTTCTGCCTCTATCTCTTTCCCATTATCTTTCTTTTTTTCTGCATCAATACGACTAAACACGAATAAATCCAGACTGAAATGTACTCATCTATGAGCACGCATGAATACATACATACATAAGTTGCTAATGAGTTGCTACTTACTGCTAGACTCTTATTTTCACCAAAATAATAGTTAGACTAATTGTTGCTCATCTATGCGCCCGTTTGTTTTTACGCTACTGTCTGCTTGCTTTTGGAAAGAAAATACAAAATAGAGAAAGGGGAAAAAAGTTTATTCGATGGACAATCTAGTTAGGGAAAAAGTTTCTTTTTTCTGATTAAGCTAAAATGCTGCTAGAAAAAGAGCAAGAGTGAAAGAAAGGCACTTTTTACTCTATAGGCGGATAAGATTTTTTTCATTTTTGCAAGTTCGTCCGGTAAAACACTCGTTCAACACACACACTGAAACTGTTAGGACGGATAGGACAACTGTCTATGTTAGCCGCGAAGTCGTCTTACTGACCTGATAACCATATTGTACAGTCTTGATTCGTTGATTTCTGGCTTAGTTCCCCGAGGGTTTGCAAATATAATGTGTCATATATTTTGTCTAAGGAATGTTAGCGTTTTTGTTTGACTCGTTGTTTTTCACACACTGACTTTTGTGTGTATACCTCAGTGTTGGTCAAGCGGTTATATGATGTCGTGTTCTGGAGGTGCATATAAGTCAATTTAGACGGCAACTACAGTCTAGTATCACTCAGTCATAATGGAAACAATAAGTGTTAAGAGACGTCCATACTCAGTCAGTGTCGACATAAAGATTAGTAAGCATTACAGTATGAAAAACAGTTGCTTTACTCAAGGTTTAATAAATGTTGTGTCATAATGGTTAATTTTATGGGTGTGACGGAGAAGATTTGTAGCTCAGGTGGATAATTTTGATTTGGTTGTGTTCTCTGAGCTGGATAGTTTATTTGCGAAGCTTTCACTGGCCTACTAGGCAACACCTGCAGTGCATACTTCAATTTGAAGTGAGCTATTAGATTTCTCCAGGAGTTTAATAATCATCTCTTCCGGTGGGTGACCTTGGACGTGATTGGTTACTTTTGTGAGTTTTCACACCTTCTAGGTTACTTGTATTGTCACTCATTGTTTCTTTGACTTGAACTTTGACCCTTTGTGTGTGAGGTTTCCTTCTTATCGGTTGATAAATTTTGTCTATCTCGATGTGTCTATTGATTGATGATTCACTGGAATGCCAGGCTTCTAAAAATTCCCTAGCATTCTTGACGTTTCCTCTGTCTAGTATTTGAACGGTGGTTGTCCCAATCGAATTGATGCCCGTGGTTGTCTGTATGTAGTGATATGAGGGAGTGGATGTCATGTCTTTCGACGGCTAGCTTATGATCATGGATACGAAGACGAAGGGGACGTCCATTTCGGCCAATGTAGTGTTTTTCGCAATTGTTACAATTTATTTTGTAGATGATGTTGGTTTTATCTTCTTTCGTTGTTGACTCTTTTGGTTGACACAGAGCCAGCTGAGTGAAGTTATTTTGTTGGTTTGTGTGTGCGACGCCAATGCCAAAAGGTTTGAAGGGTCTTGCAGTGATTTCTGAGATGTCCTTTATTCATGGTATGGTGATTTTCTTTGTGCTTTCCTTGGGGGCCTTTGATTTGATAGGTTGGCTTGTGAGTAATTACAACGCATAAAAGGAATTGTATACAAACACTATTCAAGAGGGCCAGGACTCATTGCAACACTCCCATCTTAAGGAAAATTGAAGAACGGTATCTCATGGACGTCTTTCGAAAGAATGGATATCCACAGAATTTCATCAAGAGATATTTCTTATGTTTGCTTTATCAGCCTGCTTTTTCAGCTTGATGGTTACTACCTCAATGTACAGATATGGAACTGGGTAGCTAGGATTTGAGTATTAATATGGTGTGTTTCAAGTAACACTGGGAACTATTATTAGCATCCTTATCCATTCCGTGCATTTCGAGGGGAACATACGGCTTTGGCGGCACATATCCATTGCACTGATTATAATTAAGACCAATTTCACTTTACTCTATGCATATGGGTCAAAGATATTTTAGAAGGATGCTCGTCACTAGTTTCGATTCTGATAGTTTGCTGTAGTCTACTGCTTTGCATTTTCCATGTGACTTCATTTATGGAGTCGTGAGACGCCGACAGATGCTAACCTAAAAAACTATCCTTGATACAACTATGCCATATTGTGAGCCGACCAGCTTTGTGCTTTCTCTAACAAATCCTAGGGTTAACGAAAACAGAGAACATAAAGGGATAACCTGTGTTACTCAGTCATTCACAGATGTCCTTCGTTGCCTAATTAATCAAGTAATTTCATCATTAAGAAGGTTTTTAAAACCCTGTTATTATCACATCAAATACACAACAATTTCATCATGACTTCAAGCTGTCCATCAACAGTAAATATGGAAGGAAGGACGTCAATAGTTCTGTAACCCGGGGAACGGAACACAACTTAGAGTCATAATCACAATCATCTAAATATCAAAGGTCAGTAATGTATACATCAGAGAACTACTGAAAACCAGAAAGTATTCAACAGCTATTTCGCTCTAGTTTTGGACAACTTGAAGGTAGGTACACAGCCATGACTACACAAAGAGTCGAACTAGGGATTCTCAAGTAATCAGAGTTAGATCAGTTGAACTCCAATAGATCGTGAGTTCTACCTGCTGTCATCTTGCGGCATAGCTCCAAGTTTAAATAATGTCATCAACAAGTATGTGACTTCACATACGATTCGGTAGAACCACCTCGATGGAAGTGACTTCACAATAGGATTCTGGTTTTGCCTTGGATATGTGACGCTTGAGAATGCCGTACTATGAAAACATAACTGACCAGTGTTTAAGGTACGGACGAGGATGTCAAATGGAGAATCGAGAAGGCGAGAAACACATTCATCAACCTGAAACCAATCTGGAAATCTTCCGCTGTCACTCCTCAACATCAACAACAAAATTCGGATTTTCAATACAAACGTCAGTCAAGTCAGTCAGTTCTTCTATGCGGATGGATCAGAAACTTGGCCAGTGTGTCACAAAGAATATTTCCAACAGCCTGTTGCACACCTTTATCAACAACTAACTGTCTTCGCTGGCTCTCTACTCAAGATCAGATGGCCGGAAAGAACAAGAACCAACAAGAAACAAACTATGGGAACAAACAAAACAAATAAGAACCAATCTTCCAATAAATATGCAGGAGAAAGGTGAGATGGATTGGACACTCACTCGCTGAGGAGGCCACTCGCTGGGTGACATCGCGCGTCAGGCCATAGCTCGAGTGGAACCTGAAAGGGAAGCGGCGAGTGGGATGTCAGTGCAAGGGTGACATGGAGGAGATCGTGTGAAGAGAAGTTGAAACAGTATTGATTAACATGGATGGAGGTGGAAAGTACAGCAGAATAGAGAAGCAAGTGGAGACGTGCAGCTGAAGTCCTATGTTCCACTAGGAACCCAAGGGAACAATAATAATAATAAGTGTTTAAGGTGATTGATTAATCACCTTAGAATCACTGGATATCTTCTCCCCTTGAAATGATCTAATCACAGCTGTTACTTTTCTCATTCAATGGAATGAATACCAATCAGTATGCTCAAAGTACAACTACGGATAATTTTCTATTTGATAATGTTCTTCTTTCTTTCTTTTCTTTTCACTTGACAATTTTCAGAACCGGTGTATTTGCTCGATCACGTGCACTAGAAGATTGTAGACAGAGAACGAATGCTATTTTAAAAACAATTCAACCAAATCATATCAATATGGATTTGATAAGATCGGCTAGAATAAATGCAGCACGTGAAGCTCATTGGATGAATCAGTTGACTAACAGACTGACACATGTTCAAGTAAGTTGAAATGTTTTACTTTCTCTTTTTAAATCGATTATATGAAGAGAGAAAAAATGAAATGGTACTATGTATAAACATATATACATGACAAGCAGCCTCAATTTCAGGAGATGCATCTGTTCAACGGCGGACTGATTCACCGGTCTTCCTTAATTCCCAGTGAAAGTAGATATGATGGAGAAGATTTGTAGCTCAGGTGGATGATTTTGATGTGGTTGTGTTCTCTGAGCTGAATAGTTAATTTGCGGAGCTTTCATCACCCTACTAGGCGACATCTTCAGCGCATACTTCAATTTGAAGTCAGCTTTTAGATTTCTCCACGAATTTATTAATCATCTCTCCTGGTGGGTTACCTTGGACGTGATTAGTTGTTTTTGTGCGTTTTCACACCTTCTGGGCTACTTGTATTGTCACTCGTTGTTTCTTTGGCTGGAACTTTGACCCTTTGTGTGTGAGGTTTCTTTCTTATCGGTTGATAAATTTTGTCTATCACGATGTGTCTATTGATTAGTGATTCACTGGAATGACAAGCTTCTAAACATTCTCTAGTATTCTTGGTGTTTCCTCTGTCTAATGTTTGAACATTGTCCCAGTCGAATTGATGTCCGTGGTTGTCTGTATGTAGTGATATGAGGGAGTGGATATCATGTCTTTTGATGGCTAGCTTATGATCATGGATACGAAGACGAAGGGGACGTTCACTTCGGTCAATGTAGTGTTGCTCGCAGTTGATGCAATCTATTTCGTAGATGATGTTGGTTTCATCTACTTTTGCTGTTGAGTCTTTAGGTTGACATAGAATTGAGTGAAGTGACTTTGTTGGTTTGTGTACGACCTCAATTTCTAAAGGTTTGAAGGATCTTGTAGTGATTTCTGAGATATCCTTTATATATGGCAGGGCGACTTTCTTTGTGCTTTCCTTGAGGGTTTTTGGTTTGATAGGTTGACTTTGGGGTATGCGCTAAAGATGTCACCCAGTAGAGTGGTGAAGCTCCACAGATTAACTATCCAGCTCAAAGAACACAACCACATCAAAATCCTAGTGAAACTGTTTTGCAATGTCCTCTGAGTTGGTCGGTTTAATTGCGAAGCTTTCATTATCCTTCTAGACAACTTCAATAGGAAGTAAGTTGTTTTTGTAACTCACTATAAACGATGCGATGCGATGTCTTTCTCGAGGGCCTGGGCTATTATTCATGTAACTTCAGAGGTTTCATTATCCTTGTGTCACAGATTTGATGAATGTCATTGAGTCTGTTGAGTGAAAATATCACCTGATTACTAAACTTCGCAAAATTCTCTAGCATCTTTAGTATTTCCGTCGTTTGAAGTTTTCATATTTTTACCTAGTCAAACTGGGGTCTCTAGTTTTCTACGCATATTGATTTGAAGAGATGTATGTCGTGTCTTCTGACAACTGGACTGGAAGTCTAAGGAGATATCTAGTTGGTTTAGTGTAGTTCTCAACTTAGTTGATACAACTGATCTTGTTTTTTTTCTTCACGTTCCCCCGTGGAACATAGGGCTTCAAGCTAGTTACTTCAAGTTTCTGTAGCAGTGTTTATTTTACAGGATGGGGTTGCCAGCTTCATGCCCAACCTTTCCTCTTAACCAGCATTATTTCTGGCTCAGCGAGGTAAAGGAGTGCGTCGGCCGGGGACCGAACCCCGGACCATGTGCATGGTCGGCCAGCGTCCTAACCGCTATACCAACTGATCTTCTAAATGATGTTTATCTTGAAGGATATTGAAGTAAGTACTGAATATGTTGTCTAGAAGGACACTGAATCCTACTCATGTCAAAGGACACAACCACACCAGAAATATCCACTTGGGTTACATATGATTATTATTGTTATTCCCTTGGGTTCCGAGTAAAAAATAGGTCCTCAGCAACACATTTATTATATTCCACTGTGGCAGTCCTCTCAGTCCTGTTTAGCTGGCTCCATGCCTGTCCACAAACTTTCATCTCCTCCATGTCAACCTTCGACGTTGCTTGCACTCGTATTTTCCCACTCTAGCTCCATTCGATGCCATGGAACACGATTTCATTCAATAGTCTCCTAAAAGTATGTCCAATCCACCTTAATTTCTTTCTATATGTTTCTTAGGTGATAGACTATGTATCACTTCGTTACTAGAGTTCCTTGTTGCTTAACCTTTCCACCTAGCCATTTGATCATCAGTATTCTGTTGGAAATGCCATCGATTATTCTCTTCAGACTTCTGAACCCAAATTGTAGAATTGATTTTCTTTTTTTAGTGTTGAGAATTCTAAGTTTGCTGTCTCTGTCCTGAGTGCATCAGGCCGCCAGTCTGATTTCAGAGTAATCAAGCTCTATCTTGCCTTTCCATTCTTATCTGTCTTTGACATTTTCTTCCGTGACACCTATGCTGTTCAGATTAGTAAAAGAGGTAACTTCCTTTGCATTTCTTCCATTGATAGTGATCGATACTTGCGTTGTTTGGTTAGGTGTCTTCATCCCCTCTGTCTTGTTCACGTGAAGTCCTGCCTTCGCTGCTTATTCTGACAGCTTGCTGATTTTCGGAGCTAAAATTTATCTCCCTATACTTTAAAAATTCTGAGAATTAGTATATTCGTGAACAGGGGACTCTTCCTTACTTTCAAGCGTTTACCTTGCTCAGTAGAAACATGATAAAGAATGAGTATACACATGGGATTTTCAATATATCAGTAAGACAGTACTAAGTACATTAGAAGCGCAAGCTGAATGTTTACACCTGGGAAAAATGTGTGAGTGGAGCGATTATTAGTGAATAATCCAACCCTTCCAAGGCCATCAAACTTCTCGGACACCTTCTTGGACCTGAAAGTCTGCTTGCAAAAGCCAAATAGTGAAACTTAACACCAACGAAAACTTGGTGAATGATCTGACTGATTGATTTTGTTTTCACTGTTGAACTTTTCACAAAAAAGTGCAGCTGTTCAAGTCACAATACCCCATACAGTACACAGAGGTTGAGCAAAACCACTAAATTCAACTATAATGAACAGAAATATACTACAAAATTAATAAATGTGTGGAGAATATAATGAGAAATTGGTGGATATAGGTGTTTATAAAGCGTGAGTATTATCCGCACCACTAAGAATTATTGTGAACAATGTCACTAACAGTATTTAGCCATCAGTTCTTGCTTTCTCTACCTGCATGGTTCAAACTAACAGTCGCAAACTTTGTGCATTGATGATTCTCTTTGATTTGACCACAACTCCTACTTGTGGCAAACCTCAGTTCACATCTCTAATATGCCATTTTGAATATGAAACGATGCCTCACATCCACTATCTTTAAATTCCAAGGCAAAATATATAGACAAACTGAAGGTGTAGCAATGGGATCACCAATATCCCCTATCGTAGTAGATATATTTATGGATAGCTGGGAAAATATGGCTCTTAATACGTTTAATCCTACTCCAAAAATATGGTGGAGATATGTGGATGACACTTTCACAGTGTTAAAAACAGAACATATCTCTGGTTTCTTGACACATATAAACTCACTAGCAGAATGAATAAAATTCACATTTGAAGCCGAAAATGAACAAGGAGAATTAGCTGTGATGTTAGATTGTAAAATAAAACGAATAGAAGAAGGCAAACTACACACTAGTGTTTATAGAAAACCAACGCATTCTAATAGATATTAAGAATTTAATTCATCTCATCCTTTAACTGTTAAGGCAGGCTTAGTTAGGTGTTTAACAAACCGAGCAATGACACTAAGTAGCACAAAAAAACCTAAATGATGAAATAAAACAGATAGAAGAGACGTCGGTGTTAAATAACTTTCCTTTGAAATTCATTAGGAAGATTGAAAAACGCCAAAAGAAAAGTAAAAAGAATTGTGTAACTAGTAGTAATAACATAAATAAGAGAGAATATAAGTCATCCACTGTTATACCATATAAAGAGGGGACATCTGAGACCCTACGTAGGATTCTAAATAAAGCAGGAATTAGGGTGGCATTTAAACCAGAAACTCATTCAGGTAGGACAAGCTCTGTAGGTTAAAGGACCCAGTGGACCCAATTAGACAAAATAATATAATTTACAAAATACCTTGCAATGATTGTGAGTTAAGTCAACTACATAGGTCAAACTAGTAGGTCAGGGGTAGTCAGATTGTCAGAACATAAGAATTTAGCTAAGGTAAGAATGGTTGACCCAGAGAAGATAAGTAATTTAGAAAAAAGCTCAGCAATTGCAATGCACGCATTAACACACAACCACACAATAGCATGGTGGGAGAGGGCTAAAATTCTGAAAAGTAATCTAGGTAGGTGGAGAGAGAGGTTGATTACTGAATCCTTGTTCATCGAATCTACACCCAACACATGCAATAGGAATGATTCATCACTTATACCCGAAATATGGAAAATGCTTACTACCAATCAAATCAAGTGAAAATCAAGTGAAAAACAACGGAACTATATAAATGAATTTAGGAAGTTGTGTGATTAACTTGATATGATTATGAGCAATAAATTGTGCTCGAAACGTCATCAGTAAACATTACTGTATAACACTGTGAGACTTTATCAAAACAAAATTTACCCATAATGGAATGAAAGGATGCATGCTGGCTTCCGGTCTCAGTGGGAATACCGTCATTCAGTGGGGATCTCGGTACTATCCAACGAACAAGACGCGAAAACGGCGCCAAACATGTATCCTGTAATCCACTGTTTGTCATCATCAATCAAATTATACTATTTTGGCACAAAATGTCCATACAGACCAAGCATTTTGGTCTAACGAAACTCAACCAACCGTACATACAAAAAATTACGTAAACGAATAATCGAGTTTGCAATTCACAAGTCCATTTACCACTCATAGTTTGCAAAGTTTTATTTGAATTTTCGCCACAGTTTCGTTTGGGAACCAAAACTTTTCAGACGACAATAAATGATCATCTTGATGCCACAGCTGGCAAAATGATGCACACAGCTATATACTACTGATTC